TGTCAGTAAATCGTTTAAGATCGTTATGGTTCAAGATTCTATTCCGGGTCGTGTTAAGGCCGTTTTTGTAGCAATTAGTCGGTGAAATGCTATACTGAGTAATAAGGAAGAGTTGTAATTTATACTCGTAATAAGCTACTGTTTTGTTATTAAGATGTTTTAACCGACTTCGTCAAAGAAAAGGTACGTAATGCGGCTGTATCTTTTTGTTTTTACCCATATTTAATAATTTACATATTTAATAGAAATCAAATTAAAATTATTAAAAAAAGTGTTTAAATAAAAAGGTGATAGATACTTCAAAAAATCTACTCATAATAAATAATATATAGTAGGGTTTATTTAAGCTTTAATCTATTTGGGGGATAGAGGAACTGTTAAAGGCTATTTATTTATTTATTAGCTTTTCAAGGAAAACAAAGAGTACAATAAATAATTATATTATAAAATATAAAAGTCAAAGTTTTTTTTATTCGTATTCTTTTCAGCAAACCATTTCATTACATATCCATATCATGGGAGTGCATAAAAAAATATAGTACGCCATATTGGATTTACAATGACGTTACTTTGATTATTATGTTTCGCTCATCACGATTTGTTTGGCTCAGTTTGTAGTGATCCTACTTGCTGTGCCAGCGGTCGCGGGTTCGAGTACCGCTGGGGGCATTACTTTGTGTGGTGAGCACAAATGTTTGTACTTCAGTCATGGATGTTTATATTTATAATATGTATGTATTATATATATACTAATATTACCTATCTGGTATCCATAGCACAAGCCTCGTAGCTTACCATGGAACTAGATGGTGGTGTGTGTCAATGTCCTAAGTTATTTATTTCAATCCTAAAGCCAACTAAGTTTCCACAGATATCAATTATGATTATTAGAACCTGTTGTTTGGGCTCATTAGATTACTTGATTGTAGTTGTACTTTAGTTTTTAAAAATTACAATATTATTATTTTAATTGATTCATTGAAAACCATACAAACAATCTGTTATGAACGAAAAATTAAATGTCGATAAAATACTGATAAACAGACAATTTCGATGGATTCAATTCAATTCTTCTAGAGACGAGAAAAAAGGACAAAAATAATGAAGTAAAAATGTGTTTCGATATTTTGAAACTTTATTTTAAAAACGCGTAAATTAGAGCGAGAGAATACTTTAAACATACTAACAATTTACGCGGTAGAAAACGCGGAAAGTTATTAAGAATAAGCATGTTATATTCGCATTCATTAAAACGCAAATTTTTAATAAGTATCCTTACGGTTCCCGAGGAATAGATTTGGTTTGGTTTTTTAATAATGGATAATCAATATTAAATAATTTGTATCCATACTAATATTATAAATGTGAGAGGGTGTTTGTTTGTTTGTTCTTCTTTCATGTCGAAACGGAGTGACGGATTGGCGTGATTTTTTGTGTGGAGATAGTCGGCGGGCTGGAGAGTGACATAGGCTACTTTTTACCACGGGAGATTGTCTAATTCCCAAGGGAAAACAATCTCAGAATTACTTGAAACTTGGTATTAATGCTTTTCAATACAATTAAATAAATACGTGTTTTAGCATTTTTCGAAATTCATCCCATAAGGGGGTAAAGTCGGGGATGAAAGTTTGTCTGTATATTATAAATGTGAAACTTTGTGAGTATGTATGAATGATTGTTACACTTTCACGCTAGCACAGCTGAACGGATCTGAATGAAATACGGCACAGAGATAGATTATAATCTGGAATAACACGTATGCTACTTTTTATCCCGGACAAATATACGGTTCCCGAGGGATAGATTTATTTTTGTTTTTCTAGAGGCGAACCCGAGCAAAGCGTTGGCCAGCTGCTAGTGGACAATAAAAAAGATAAAGACATGAAATGTAATAAATAATTTGAAATGTCTCTGATACTATCGTTTTATTATACAAATACACAAAAAATCTAATTTGTAGTCATTTCTCAATACTTTTATTTCCAATTATAACAAATGATTTTTCTCATATCAAATATCATTAAGTAATTAAATTAACGAACGGGCTGGTTTTTCTTAAAAAAAAAACAAGATTATATTTTTAAAACTTCTTTCTTGGCTTGGAAAACGAGTGGTTAGGGCTGTATATAATAGAATATATCAATAATACCAATTGAACGGTAAAAATCTTACCTAAGTGATGATTTTTACATGTTTCATTATTACATTTTAAAATGAAATTATTACTGTTTATTAGTTAGCCACTATGTAATTATACAATACACATTCTTCCTTATTTAGATCAAACATGTCGCTATAATTTAGAAATTTATAAACAAAAACGGATAACTTAAATGCAGAATCCATTAAATATCATCTTAGTTAGAAATATCTTTAGTAATTTGATTCGCCGACATCAAAGCTCTATTCCTGTCTTCCGCCTTGTGTCAAATTATGGCGCGAAATAATTAACTTTTTTATTTATATGTAGTAGTAGGTAATATTTAGACGTTTGTTAATTAGGCTATTTTTATTTTAAAATATATATGTATTACTAGCAAAACCCGCGACTTTGCTCGCGCCAAAACTAAAAAAATATCTCCAAAAAGGTAGGTTTCATACAAACTTTTATCCTTTATTTTACCTCGTTATAAGATGAATTTAGAAAAATTCTAAAACACATATTTATTAATTTGTACTGAAGAGTATTCATACCAAGTTTCAAGTGATTCTGATTAATAATATTATTTGAAATGCAATGAAATAATCTCCCACGGTAAAAAGTAGCCTATGTCACTTTCCAGCCATCCAACTATCTTCACACAAAAAATCACGACAATCCGTCACTCTGTTTCGACGTGAAAGAGGGACAAACAAACACACTCTCACATTTATAATATTAATAGTAAAAAAATTTAGTATCATTTTAATAAGCATAAATGAAGCTATAAAGGTTCCTTTTTATTTTTTTGTAATAACAATCTCAATTAATTACTAATACACCGACTTATTTCGCATATTTTAACTGACCATACATTGTGCAATGTACTTACTCAAATGTTGAGAAACTAAAGACAAATGTTTATAATTATTCTATTATAATAATATAACAACAGTAACAGTTTAAAGTCAATGCATCATCACAAAATAAATAAATATGTCATAATTTAAATTCTTTAGTCAAATATGTCGCAATGTATTCTTTTCATTTATTTTATTATATAAATTAAAAATTTTAAAAACCCCCTACGCAAATTACTTAATTGTCATTTAAGAATTACACTGGCTCGCGTGAAGCACTTAATCGAGTAATCATACGCCAAAATGATACTCTTACACTGCTGGACCGATATTAACCAAACATAGCTAAGAACCACCACAAGGAAACTGGCTTTCAAATGAAAAAAACTGCATCTAAATCGCTCCATCCGTTTGAGAGCTACGATGCCACAGACAGACACATACACACACAGACAGACATCGACGTCAAACTTATAAACACCCCTCTTTTTGCGTCGGGGGCTAAAAATATTCTAGATAATCACGAGTATGACCAAATAAATGTATATGAAATGAAAATTTACACTGGACACTTCTTTTTGAAGTTTATAGTATGTACCTACCTAAGCTACAATGGACTATAACTGGTCGACATAGCTAGGGCCGACCTCGCCACCACACCCAATAAAATAAAAATTTACCTAGATGTAATATATTTTTTTATTTTATTTCTGTGTTGCGGCATTAGGTATCCCTTGGACCATTTCTCGTCTATTACGATCACTGCTTATGAGACTAGAGCAACCCACTAAACCTTACAGCTGTGATAAATTGCAGTATGTAAGAGATATTGTGTATATCTTTGATGGTGCACTCCAAAATTTCCTATTATTTTTAGAATTTCTAGAGGGATTATTCTTCGTCTCTAGAGGAAACGGTAAATAGTGATCGAAAATTCCCAAAAAAATTTAAGGTTCGAATTAGGTAATGAAAAAAAAGATGGTCATAGCGCGAGTCAGACCACACTGTAGTATAAATTAAGATTCCAAAATATCTGTTAAAAAACACAGCTTCTTTTTTCGATTTTCGATTACCTATCTAGTTACTCCTCCCTCAATTTTCGATATTTGATATTAATTAAATTACCGTTTGCAAATTATACGACTATGTGATAGCTCCCTCACGGACTTATTACAGTGACGCTCTTTAAGTTAAATTGACGATTCAACAGTGGTTATAACTATTCTAATTGAATAAAGTTTAATTTCTTTTCAGATCACCATACTTCTATTTTACTTCTATTCTATATCAAAACTATTTTTTAACGTCTTCTAAGACTAATAAGTATATCGTTATTATTGTTATAATACTAATATTATATAGTTATATCCTTCTACTCCTAGGTGAAATTATATCATAAAAGCTTACTCATTGGTCAGCATTTTACTTAGGATGAATATAGCTTATAAGTACATTAAATTATAGTTATATCTACTAGCTTTTAGCTCATGCTCAATAAAAGGCACGCAATTATAGATTATCTGTGCCATCTGGTGACGTACTCACGAACTATTTGTCCTAGATGTTGCAAGTTTTTAGATTTTACTCGAATAGCAAGCCAATATGAGTAAAATTTATAGATAGTTTGCGTCAATATTATGTAATATGCTTTTTATATTTGATTATAATAAGGTCTTATATATTTTTATACATAACAATAAGTTTTCTAACATATAATCAGTATATTGTTTTATAAAATTAAATCACAATAGAAAAAAATGTTTTTTTTTATTTTATTTATTATTATCCTATCGTATTTTCTTACTATACATTATCTTAATATCGGTCTATTTTATATTTATTGTTTTTATATAATTCAAGGAGCAATTGTTTAATATTATAGCTATACTGTCCGTTAAACGTCAAATCAATAAACATCTAACACGTCAACTAGTTCCTGTCACTTTAGTAAAAAGTATTCTCGTGCTTGTTTTCTTCAATTTGTGCAAAATTATACAAAAATGGTTTATACTGGAACAATGGAAGGTTCTTTATTTGTAAGTTAAACATTTTGCTTCAGTTATAACAGACTAACTATGGTAACACGATGACGAATAACCATTCATTCAACAAGCAAATCACTGTGCCGAAAAATGTTTTATATCATTGTAAAAACACTATTTGGCACTTAAATACACAATAAAGAAAAAAAAAACAGATTTTGATTCAGTTCCTGTTTTTCATAATTCTCAATATATTTTGCAGCTTTTTTTAGCTTGTACAAAGAAGCCCTTTTTTAAGCACCTACCTTATTTTTTTTATTTCAGGAACCAACACTTTATATTGTAAAAGGCATGTGTATATTAGATAGCGATGGCAACAGAATATTGGCTAAATATTATGACAAAAATATCATGCCCAGTGCCAAAGAACAGAAGGCATTTGAAAAGAATCTTTTCAACAAAACACACAGGTAAAACTTATTGAGTATTACTGTGATTTTTATTTAGTGTCAAAAAATTAAACATCAGTATGTTTATATGTTAAAGAAAATTTTATGGGTCCACCTTGGGGCCTACCTTAATACAATACAGTTTAAAGTAGCAATCTGACAAACCATCTTCAAAAAATCGGTGTACATATTTAAAAAAAATATGCGGATGAACTCTGAACCTCCTCTTATTTAGAAGTCGGTTAAAAAGTAGTAATTAAATTTAAAATATTTTACAATAAATAAGCTGTCTTCTCTAAAGCTGATTTATGTAAATAATATATATTTAAACAATGTAAAGTCTAAAATTTAAAATATATTATTGATTAAAGCTTATTATACCCTCACGGAATACTTATGTGGGATAAGTTGATAATATTGTCTTACAATATTGTAAACATTATTTTAAAAAAGCAACTGTTGGTTTCTCACGGTCTCTTCTCAGCAGAACTGTCTTCCGAGCCTGTGGTAGATTCCTCGTGGACTGACTACACTGACATTTAATTTAATATAAATTATGTTTTGATTTGATTTATTTTAATTATAGATAAGGTAATTGAAGTATATACTTATCATTATTTCAGAGCGAATGCAGAAATAATAATGCTGGATGGCCTCACCTGTGTGTATAAGAGTAATGTGGACTTATTCTTCTATGTTATGGGAAGTTCTCACGAGAATGAGGTATTTTGCTTTTTCTTTTCATATTATAATACTAAATTCCTCATAAGTATAAGAAACAGCTCATAGTTTATATTTAGATAGCGTTTTGCTTTTTGAGTTTATCTATATAGGTGTTTATCTGAAAAAAAAAATCAACACAATTGAAAAAAAAACAAGATTTTCAAGATCCTGAATGCATTTAAGTTTCTTTTCTAAACCAGCACATTACTATTGCTCAGTGCCCTTGCCTTATAACATTATCCTTTTTACCCAACTGCAGTGAAGTCCAAAGGAGGGTTATGTGTTTGACCTGTATGTACCTATGTATGTACAATATTCCCTCAAAATTACAAACAAATTTTGATGACACATAAATTGTATATTTTCAAAAATACAAAAATTGCACCAAAGTACCTTACAATATTTGTTAATTTAAATTTTATAAAAGTTCTTTAAAATTCAAAAAGGTAGTTTAATTTTATTTAAACCAATATTATTATAATGTTCCTTCCTATATATTTATTTAGTCGTATTTTTTAAACGGTTTTATATAGCTCGCCCTGTTTGTTTGGGTCAGTAGTTGAAATTTTACCCCTTTCCTGTTGACAGATTGATCTGATATTTGGTACACACCTTTAGTCAGATGACAATATTGAATATATTCAGTAAATCTTAGATGGCCGTCGCCACAAAATGGCGGATTACATATCTTTTCTCAACTCCCTCAATATGGGTATCAAATGATAGGGCTTGACTAGTAGAATATAGTACACTATGAAAAAAAATCCACATCCAAAATGGTCGCCAACGGCGTAGCGTAACCAGAATAAATATTTAACGCTCCACAATTTAATTTTTGAGTCTTATCAATGCCTTAGATTGATGAGGAGAGTGGTGTGATGACTAGGTCTTACATAATTATTTTTTAGCTTTTAGTACTTTATCTAGATCATTATTATCTTTCTTTTCAAGAAAACCGTTTAACTTAAAAAGAAATTTACCTAATTTATGTTATTTATTTTCACAGTTAATTCTACAATCAGTGCTAAACGCACTGTACGAATCAGTAAGCATTCTATTAAGAAGAAATGTGGAGAAAAGAGTCCTGATGGAAAACTTGGATTCTGTGATGCTTGCCTTCGATGAGATATGTGATGGCGGGTGAGGATCTCTAATATATATGTAGATTATAATTATATTTTGGTGATTAGGATGCTTACGGCAGGAGCAACAAACACCGTGTTTCGGATGACAGATTGACGGCACGTTTGGCTCAGTTTGTCTGCATCAGCCTACTTGCTGTGCCAGCGATCTCGGGTTCGAGTACCGCTGGGGGCATTCATTTGTGTGATGAGCACGAATGTTTGTACTCCAGTCATGGTGTTTATATTTATAATATGTATATATTTAAAGTTATATATGTGTAGTGTATCAACTATCTGTCTATCTTATTATTATATTACTGCTCCGCTCCCTTGGGTAATAGCACGATGATATATAGCCTTCCTCAATAAACAGGCTATCTAATGCAAAAAGATCTTTTCAAATTGGATTAGTAGTTCCTAAGATTAGTGTGTTCAAATAAATAAACAAATAAACAAACTCTACCTCTTTATAATATTAGTATAGATTTCAGTGTGTGTATATACGTTCGTAATAATTCTTCCCACACTCAATAGCTAGACTGATTTTGATAAAAAAGAAATTGTGTATTTATGAAGAGTTTTATAGATAAAGTATTTATATTTATTTTTCCGACCTAATGAAGTCTGTGCTAGGACGACTTTATTATGACCGGATCCGTTAGTGCTTAAATATTCAGGACTTTTTAACGTCCCACAGCTGGGCACTGACCTCCCTTCAATACGAGGGGGATTTGGCTTCCCTTCAATAATAGGAGGATAAGGCCATAGTCCACCACGCTGGCCAAGTTTGGGTTGGTGGACTTCACATGTCTTTTTAAAAACTTGCTAGGTTCTCTCAGACTTCGCACAAGAAAGTATCAGAGGTGCGAGACCCGGAATTTGAACCCGCTTCACTCGGTTTCCCAAGCGAGCGCGTTAACACTGGGCTACCACTGGTTAATTTTCATAATATATTTACCATTCCAGTGTCATTCTGGACTCCGACCCAACATCCATAGTGGGTCGTGCGGCGCTACGCACAGACGACGTGCCACTCGGCGAGCAAACCGTTGTGCAGGTAATGGACCAAATTAACAGGTTGTTTTGGTAGAATTTAGAAGAAAATGGTAGTTTTTATTATTTAGTATAGTAGAAATTGGTAGGCTTTAGTAGATTTTGTATATTATTTTTTTGTTTTAATAGATTTTAGTATTAAACTGTATTATAATAGGTTATGAACAATATTTTCAAGAGGGACGTAAAATATTTAAAGAAGAGATATGACAAGGATTTTTTTAAAAAGACCAACAAAATGAAAGGTCACAAGTTATCCGCACATAAAAAAAAACACATATAAATAGGTTATATTATTAATTTTGTAGTTACTACAACGGTGGAGTATTAATTAAAAGAACAAAGCGAAACAACAAGTCGATGTCAGTGAAGATAAAAAAAAAATGGAATGCGTTTTAATTATAAAAAAAATAACAATTTATGTCTCATAACTCAGAATATTACATCATTTTTGTACGTACATGATTAAAATTTCATAACAGCTCATCCGTAACTAATGAAACATCTCATTTTCGTTTGTTTTTTGTTTTCATATTTAACACTTATTCATATTATAAGTCTTAATAATCGTATACGTATAGGGTATTAATACTATACCTTTTGTTTTAAATATCTAATATAAAATTATAAAAAAAGATGATTTCAAAGCAGTCAACATTCCTATATTTTAAAATGATATTATATTTTCATATATCAGAATTACAGAACTATAATATATCAAATGTTATGATTATAATATTTTATACTATGTGTTAAATTATTTATATAATTAAATTCAGAGTATAAAATATTGACCGGTTTATAATACATGTACAATATATGTACATACTAATTATACATAGATATAATCTTGTATTTTGGTTTTCAATGTTTTAAATATTTAAAATAAGATTTTAAATATGTTTAATTAAAACTGAACTACACTGTGCCATGTTATAATGAAATGCTTTTTTTTTACAAACGTCTAAAAAGTTTTTTTTTATAAAGTGATTATTTACGAAGTTAAGATGGGGTTGTTATGGGTATTATTTAAAGAAATATTATAATAAATAATTTCTTTTTTATTTTTCTCTTCATAGAGAAGAGATTTTATTTAAAAAAATACAACCGAATTGAGAACCTCTGCCATTTGAAGGAGTTGATTGAAAATACATTGTAGACAATAATAATAAAAAAAATGTATTTACTTATAACTTTTGTTTTCAGGAAATTCTTGATGCTCTTTCTAAGTAAAGTAAGAAATATGTCATTGTGACTAATTTTAAATTCCACAAAATATAAATAATGATATTATAGCCATATATTAATTTTACCCCTGATTTTGACTGTAATTTAAAATTATAAATCTCATGTAATGTCCCATAACAACCCCTTGTTTTTTTACCTTTTTCGTTACCACTGTTTGCTTATTTACTTACCTGTGTGCTTTGTGTATGTAAAATAATTAAAAAATATATATTTTATGTTAAATAATTGTTTAAAGTATTACATGACATACAGTCGTTAAATATTTTTTGTTTATATATTAATTTTATATTGTCATACTTATACACTCGTACTGTGGTCCAAAATGGCAATGTCACAGTTTATAAATAAAAAAAGATGTTAAGTGTCATTTAAGAGGAACTCTTCTACCAATTAATGTTTGTACTGTTATTGTATTTTCATTTTTGCTTATCATTAATTATTTTCCTTTTTCGTCTTTGCTTTTTTGCACTGGCAATTTATTTTTCAATATTTTTCCGTTTGATTATTTTTGGATAATTAAAAAGAATTCCATATTTCAGGTTCTGTACAACCTTATTAAAGAGAATAGCAATTATTAAAATACGACCAAGACATGGCAACACTATACGTAACACAAATAGCTTGTAGTTGTTTTTTTATCTGTTTTTGTATTTTAGAATATACCAATGATAAAATTTATTTTGTTTTTATTTTATATGTAACCTTAACGTGAATTTAGTGTGTGCGTTTTATAAAACATAATTTTAATTTTATGCCTTGTAGCAGTCACGTTATAGTTTTATTTAATTTTTTAAATCATTCAAATAAGCAAAAGTGAAAACGTTAAGTAGATTAAAAATAAGTATTGAAGATATCCAGACTAAAGAAGGATGTAGATGGAGTCCGCCTATAAAAATGTCAAAGTCAAAAATAGTAGCGTGTTTGAGATATTGCCATACAGATCGTTTATATTCTTTAAAGAATATGGGAAATTTTATATATAGATTAAGTATAATTACATTAATTTACAATTTTTGAGAATAAAATATGAATAGTAAAAGAAGTACTATTTTTTGTTTTTTTAAGCATTAGTTCTCTTTTCTTTGAAAGAGAGATAGCATATTATTAGCTATAAAATTCATGAGCTATTTTTATTTATTAACATTTATTTGCTTATCACTCAGTACATATATGAGTTGTTAATTTTGCATATTTTAAAATTTTATGTTTAGTACTATAAAGCTTTGTCTATATTATTACTTAGACCGAGTTAAAATCATCGATCAAAAAACTACTGGATACACTATCCCAGCAAAAGTTCTCTTAAAACTGTCACCAATTGTGTTAAGGTAATTATTCTAGTTGAAATAAATATACAACAATGTAAATTGAACCTTAAGTGCAATGCTCAAAGTTGTTTTCACAAAAAAAAAATTAAAAGCGCGCTCAAATTTTTAAATGCGCGCTCATTCGGTGAGAACATTTTTTGTGGCTGATTGGTGTATCTAGTAAAATTAATTATTGTAAAATTTTAACCGAATATAATTTTTATTTTAAAAGTATAAATAATATCTAATAATTTCGTTATATTAAATAAATTATAATAGTTGCCATACGCAAAAAATATTATATAAATTTATTGAATTGTCTGTCTTATCACGAAAATGACCTAATTTTAAATGTTTATGATAACTTATAAAAATATTCGGCTCTAAAGTCTGCTTGAGCTAACTTATCTGTACAGATAACAAAATTTATGGCAATTGAAGATAATCGCAAGAATCCCAGTAATTTGAATCTCGCTTCGCTCGGGTGTGTCCCTAGGTACGTTTTAAATAGATATAAATAGTTATTGCGAGTGTACCTTAGGAGATAAACGTATGCTATTGCGGACTTTTCTATAGGCTTTTTAAGACCTACAATTTTCTAGTACATTGTTTTGATGTGATGATTATAATATAGGAAAAAATGTCTACTGTAAAATCTAACAAAAGATTCAAAAAGATTCTTTTATTTCAAAAAAAATTTCCGAGAACGGCTGAACATTTTTTTGGGAAAATGCAGAAATTTAGGACATTTATTGCGGTTTTTTTTTAACTTATATGAAGAAGTTTTTTTATTTATACTTCTCATAATAGGCAAAGAGACTTTTGCCTATAAACTTAGGCTTATTTTACTTACTCTACTAAGGCTAGTTACGCCACTGACAAGAAGTATTGGTTGTTTGAACAAATAAGCACTAAGACGACGAACTATTAATATCGTTAAAATAATTATAACATATATAAAACCTTATAGAGTAGATTTCTTTTAAATTTTGCATATTTTTATTTACAATTTTGTTTTACAAATAATTTTAATGCCAGTGGTCTCGCTGTAATCTAACTTCATACATTTTAATTTCATAAAACCATGCATTTCTTACTCCTAACTGTACATATTCAAGGGTTTCATACATAGTTTTCATTTCTTGGGTTTTAAGAAACAAAATACATATTCGAAAATAAAAAATCTTATAATATGAAATGAGCAATTCTTGTATAGCTACATATATTATAAACTAGCATTGCCGGCAGCTCCGCCCGCGTTCAGGTGACAAAAACCAAATTCTTAGGTTTTACATATTAGTATACTCTTACATTGCAGTTTTTGTATTTTTTCCCATAAATGAGACATTTTCCCGCGTTAAAAAGCATATGTTGACCTGGATAACCAGCTATCACCATACCAAATTTCATCAAAATCCCTCCAGCGGTTTTTCTGTGATGCGGTAACAGACAGACAGACAAAAAATCTAAAAACTATAGATTCGGCCTCTGTATCGATAATAACGTTTATTTCAATAAGATTTTCCAAAAAATATTTAATGGAAAGTTTTGGCTTAGTTACAATTTTATTACATGTGTACATAGATAGGGAAATTATTAAAAAATCAAAATGGCGGATTTGAAGCAATATAAAGTATATCTTTGCCTGAATCTAAGAGTATTACGTTAGAAAAGACATTATATTATACTTTTGTTATTTTTTTTTCTTTTGTAACTATCTGAAATCAATATGACAGGTATTTTTACCCAACTGAGGCGAAGCTAAAATAAAGGGTAATGAGTTTGAACTGTATGTATGCCTATATTATATGTATGAATATTTTAAATAAAACTATTTGTTCGGATTTTTTTAGATTTTTGGTTCTCGATGTTTTGAATGCTTTACAATCATGGTCCGCGAAAACATTAGAAAGATAGTTTTATTTAAAATGTCAAATATTCGGGTAAATTTAAGAAAGTATTATTAAATGTATAGTCAACTAGCGTTTCACCCTCGCTTCGCTCGGGTCCGCCCTTAGGTATGTTTTAATTATTTTGAGCGGAACCCTAATTCTTTTCCTAAAATAAAAGTAGCCTATGTTACTCCCTACTAACATCAGCTATGTTCCCGTGGTAGTCCCGTCAAAATCAGTCCATCCGTTTCAGAGATTATCCGAAACAAACAGGCAGACAAAAATTAAAAAAAAGTGTTTCTTATTTAACGTCCCACTGCTGAGCACGGGCCTCTTCTTCAATACGAGGGGGATCAGGCCGTAGTCCACCACGCTGGCCAAGTGCGGGTTGGCGGACTTCATATGTTTTGAAAACTTGCTAGGTTCTCTTAGACATGCAGGTTTCCTCACGATGTTTTTCCTTCACCGTAAGGCAAGTGGTAATCATGTTGGAAATGATTCGCACATGAAAATATCAGAGTGCAAGTGCGTTACCACTGGGCTACTACTGCCTATTATGCCTTGTTTCTTATAAGTACCGTATATAATTTCATATGCATTTAGTAAAACGCTGTTATTTTGACATTACAAACAGACACTTCAATTTTATTTATCTGTATAGATAATAATAGTTACTAATATGAAATATTCTTTTACAGGTGCTTCAATCTGCAAAGGAACAGCTTAAATGGTCACTACTGAAATAAAACTGCATGTAAATCATATTATTTAATAAAATTATAACAATTTATTTATATATTTTTTAATAATTAATAATATAATATCCTTTTTAATATCAAATAATGTATAAATAATAATATTGTTTTTGATAATTCAAAATATGACATAAGTTGAGAAGTATATTTTCTTTTATACATAATATAATGTATATACACATCGATCAAAAAAGTACTAGATACACAATCAGCGACAAAAAATGTCCTCACCTAATAAGCGCTCATTTGAACATTTGAGCGCCCTTTTAATTTAATTTTTTTATGACAACAACTTTAAACATTGCATTTAAGGTCAATTTACATTGTTTTTTATTTATTTCAACTAGAATAATATCTAAACACAATTCGTGACAGTTTTAAGAGAACTTTTGCATGGGATTGTGTATCTTGTACTTTTTTGATTGATGTATATAAAAGATAATTTTTACTTAGACTTAAATGCTTCTTAAAGAAGTGTCCAGGTTGGATGCAAGATAGTTTCGAATCTTCTAGAAAAACAGAATATTTGACTCTAAAGCAAATTTTATTATAATGAACAATCAACTATATATAAGGCTGGTTTAGAGTAAGCACTAAACACAGTACACTCAGTGTATACTCACCGAGTGTCTTTAATTTCACAATGGAGAAGTTTCCGAATTTTTTTCTATACTAATATTATAAAAAGATTTGTTTGTTTGTACTGAATAGGCTCCGAACCTACTGAACCGATTTAGATGAAATTTGGTAAGAAGATAGTTTGAAACGCTGGGAAGAAAATAGGGTAGTTCTTATCCCGAAAATCATCCCTTAAGGGGATGAAAGTTTGTATGGGGAAGAAACCTAGGGACGAACCCGAATTAATAAAATATTTCAACAAATGATAAAATTATACAAATTTAAAGTTGCACTCTTGTAAGAATAACTCCGTGACGTCACACATCCTGAACGACCGACATTTATATTAATTTCTCAGTCATTTATTGATACATTTCAAAATAAATTCACTGATCTATTAGTTTTGAATAATCCCATTGCGTTAAATATGATATTAACAACATCAGAAAACTTCTCCATTATAGACACTTTACACAGAGTGTACTAAGTCTATAAATACACGGAATATACCGTGTATAGTGTCTTATTGTTAGCCTAAACCGGCCTTTACAATATGAATTTAACTGCCACAAAATTGAAAAATTCCAAATTCAACCAATAGATGTGCTTGAGTGCTTTAACTATATAAAATCGAATTAATTTAACAATTTATTCACGCCATTTCAAGAATTAATTTATCAATTTATGCACGCCATTTTAAACTTATATTTGAACATTTTAATTATCTTCATTACTTCCCAAATTCATCGGCTGCGGGCGTTGTATTAAGTTTGGATATTTGTTTAAATACAGGATGGTTTTTATCTTTCAATAATTTGAATAAAACATTCTCTGATGTACCCACAAAACAACCTATTGATTGGAGACGCTGAAAAAAAAAGATTACAAATATATAAAAATATTCGTGGCTCTTAACATATATAAATGTAAAATTAATATAAAAATCGATGTGTGTGTGTATGTTCCCTATGGACTCCAAAACGGCTGGAGCGATTTTGATGGAATTTTTCTGGTAATCATAATTAAATCAGCGGGAAATCCTGTTCAGTTTGGTAGCGATCGGATCAACAGAATTTTGTTTTAGGCTTTTTAGTAATTAGATGTCGCGTCTCATTTCTGCTTCGGTGTTATATTATATGAACACATTTTTTGAAAAGAACTATTTCAAAAAATGTGTCACTGATCGTTCAATTTGAGATTATTTGACAATTCTTTAGTAATGTCGGTGATAAGGTTGAAAGAAATAGCTAAAACAGTTTTTTCGGACAATTTTTTTTCAAAAGTTTGGAAGTCAATTTCATTCTAAAATCGACTATTAGGAACAACCTTTTTTTTTATTATTTGGTAAGGTGATAAGTTGCTGAAATTTTTAAAAGTACTTTGAATCCATGAAACTTCCATTTTGTATTGTTAAGAGAATTTTGAAAATTTAACTCCATCCAATTCAAACTTAAAATATTCACTTTCAACCCTTTTTTTGGTATCTTATAATGAAGAACGTTATGTAGTTGATTTTAATGTATCAAAGAGTAATTCAAGACGATCATTTTGCAGAAAAAGAAACGAAATTTTTTTTTACTATTAAACAAGTTATGATTTTTTAAATTTGGTCCGGTAGAAAATTCGCAAATACACATAAAAAAAATTATAACTTCTAAACTACGAAAAATCGCGGAACATACGTGGGGTATTTTTGGATACACCCAGATGTGAGGAATCTAAAAAAAAAATGACGTCACTTATTGGACCATCCTGCCTGCCGGTTGCAATTAGGAAAAATTTATGTATGTCAACTGTCAATGACTAAAATAAAAAAAAATAGATGAAAAGTAAAAAAAACATACATTTTATAATTTAGCCGATACATTGTACCCAAAAGTATCAACAGTGGGTTCTCTGTTTAATTTAGATATATTTTTGAACGCTGGACTCTGTTTATCTCTTAATAGTTTAAATAAAACATTTTCTGCTGTCGTTATAAAACATCCTATAGATTGCATACGCTGAAAAAAAACATGCACACACATACAGGTTGAAATAACAGTAAAAATAAAGAAAATATACTTATATATATTTTAGTAAATTAAAATATTTAAAAATATGTAGATATTATATGAAGAAAATTTTTCTTTATATATACCTATAATATTTTTTTCTATAAACTGTTATTAGCGCCTGTATAGTTAGTCACAAATATTTACTCTAAACTATAATTATTATTAGTGAAGTTCTGATTATTCAAAATATATTGGACGTCAGAATATTATTTATAAAAAGTTAATATTATAATATTATAAAGAGGCAGTTTGTTTGTTTAATAATAATATCAGGAACTACTAATCCGATTTGAAAATTTTTTTTTGCATTAGAGAAGTAGAAGTAGAAAGTAAAATGAAAAATTCTATGTATAGAAAAATTACTTCCAAAAGTGATATTCAATAGTTTGTTGATATTTCCTTCTTTGGTATTTTTGTATTTTTATGGTATAATAATTAAATGCAGTTAGTATTTTGTTTGCCAAATGATGGCATTAAAATAAAAATTTTGCTCAAAAATGCTAGTTAGGGAGGTATCAGAAGTTTCCGGACGATTTGTTATCTTTTCCTAGGATTATCTTATTTTTTAGGGTGGATTTTATATTTATATATTTTTTTAACCCTATTTGTTGTGCCAGTGGCCGCGAGTTCGAGTCCCGCTGAGGACATTTATTTGAGTGATAAGCACGAATGTTTGTACTCCAGTCGTGTGTGTTAATATTTACAATATGTATGTATTTAAAGTTATAGTCAAGTCAATAAATCTCAAACTATCTTCTTACCAAATTTCATTTAAATCGGTTTAGAGATTACCCCCTACAACCTAACAAACTCACAAACTTTACCTCCTTATAATATTAGTATAGATTATTGTTAGTATGGATTATATAAATAATCACTTTTAGACATACTTATTTCAAATAACACTCACTTGTAAAGCAAGCCCTCTGTCCATCAGTGAGCGAGATGATACTCCATCAGCTAACACATGTACGGCTATATCTTCGTTTAATAAATCAATTACCGTTTGTTCTATACACACGTGGGCCTGAAAATAATATTAAAGTTATTTTATTAATCTATACATATGATAAAAATGTAACTGATAGCTGTCTGTACATGGGAGATATTTGAGAAAAACTATTATTGGGGGTCTTTATTAACGCAATAGAACCCAGAAGAATGATTTATAAAATTTTTGTCTTATCTTTTGTCTGTGCGTATGTGCACATTAATCTCAGAAACGGCTTAACCGATTTGGATGGAGTTTTCACTAATATATTGCGATAAGTATCACTTAGCATATAATATTTGTTTTATTTCAATCGGTTCATAAATAAAAAAGTTATATCAAGTTAAAGAATCACCTAGAATGTTATAAAATAATACAGAGCGAATTTACCGCAGGTCATATTAAGTGGTGGCAATTTAGATATAATCTTTTATCAAAATTAAATTAAAAATTAAAAAAAACCCTCAACAAGATATTACGACGGCTATTTATAGGGGATATTTCAATGAGCCTAAGTATGATATCTCTGCAGTATTTTAGTAAGGAGTTGAGTATCTTGAAGATCCCAGGTGACGCTGCAGCATCAGACCAACGTTATAATATCATTGCAATGTCATTAAATTAACGGGATACCAAGTTTCAAATGGATTAGATCTGTGGAAGTTGCTCATATCCTTTTACCGTCTAGAAAAGAGCTGATAGCCTGAAAGTAGCTGTACGGATTTTTAGATTTATAGCTAAGAACACTCTCGATCAAGATTCTTTTCAAACATTAAAATATATTTTAAAATTGTTCTAAATAATCTGTATCTGTATATGTGTATATATATGTATATATATAATTGTATATGTGTATATATGTATCTGTAATAAATCTGTAAACGCGTTTTTGAGCTACGATGCCACAGACAGACACAGATATACACGTTATCCTAAAACACTTCTCTTTTTGCATTATATTGTATTAAAAATCCATACTAATATTATAAATGTGAAAGTTTGTGAGTATGTATGGATGTTTGTTACTCTTTCACACCAGAACGGCTGAACGGATCTGGATGAAATATGGCACAGATATAGATTATAGTCTGCAATAGCACATATGTTACATTTTATCCCGGAAAAATGTATGGTTCCCGTGGGATAGGTTTGTTTTTGTTTTTCTAGAGGCGAAAATCCGCTAGTAATTAATATTACTTACTTCAATTCCAAATAACACCACTGAGCCTAAATTGGGCACATCTTTTTTCAATTTTTCCTGCAATTCGGGCGTGAACATAGAAAACTTAGTCTTCTCGAACACAAGTGCTGCATCATCAATTTTAATATCTTTTGTAGTATGACCTAAGCCTTTGGGGTATTGTTCTGACACATATACTGGTATATTAAAGTGTTTGGCCGCTTCCACCTGAAATAGTAATATTAAAAGACATGAAGTAAGCCCACAGAGTAAGTATGATAGTTTTTGTATGTATGTCTACTTCTTAAGTCATTGATATAAACCTAAACAATCTAAATTTAACAATTAAGATTTGTATAGCATTTGTCTTTATATTGCAAATGACTTTAGTATTTATATAGAGGATCTGTCTATTAAAATTAAAGGAAATGAGTGAAATCAAATAGCTTATTCAGTTTTAACGCCTCCGTGGTTAGTTTCCAGGAAATCAATCATTAACTGCCATACCGGCATGTTCACGACCGTTGAAGCGTTAGGTTTCATATTTTGAGCTGTGTTGTAATCCAGTTCAGTATTGTTTATATACAGCCAATACAGTACAGTTAAACATACATATATACAACATATAATATTTTATACATAGTAAACACATGTCATCAGTCAGTCAGGTAATAAATAATAAGGATAAATGCATTGATAAATAAATTCATAAAATTTCTAATTTTAGTTGGCAGTAAAGTTATTTTGGTAAACACGAAACTCAGGTTATATATGTTACAGTTAAAACTTGTTTTTAGTTAAAATGTGTTTTTGCTAGTTAAAACTTGTTTTTACTGCCTTTGGTATAACTAGAATTAACTGTTATTCCAAAAATTATTATCAATTAAAACTAGTTCTAACTAGACAAAAAGCTTTTTGCGAATGTGTTTTGGAAGAAAAAAATGTTTATTAAGTAGTTACTTGTTGGACCCCAAAACTAAAGAAGTGAGCAAGTTCTCGGTTTGAAATAGATTTTTTCTATCACAACTAGAAGGCTGAGTTCTCAACCTACATAAACCATGGACTTGTCACATAATTGAAAATTGAAACTTGCAAATAAATATGTAATCTTTTATCCAGATGCTATTTTAACTAAGGTTTTAGTTAGGCCTAGTTTTATCTAAAATTTATTTAATATAAATATTACATCCTTAGTTTTAACTAGTAAATACTAGTTGTAACAAAGGCATTTAGTAAAAACTAGTTTTAACTAGAGAAAACGCGTTTTAACTGTAACATGTACAAATATTACATAACCAATGTAAATTCATACCATTTTGTTAGCCACTTTCACAACCTCTCCGAAATGTTTTATATGAGGTCTGAAAGTTTCTTGGATATCGCACAGCAGGAATGCTGTCCTTTGAGCTTCTAAGGCACCCAATTTTAAAATATTACGCGCCATTTTCAATAGTTAATTTTTAAAATGGCGGTTGTAATGGAAAGGTTTATCTTTATTAGATATATCTCGAAAGGAGTGTCCGGGCGTTGTGACGCAAATTTCTTTTAACCTTTGAGACGAGTTTGTCGGCTCTTTTGCATATCTATTGACATTTATTGAAGTGTTTATGTATCTGTCACTGTCATTTATTTTTGTTTGAACAGAACGTTCCGTTATACGAATTTAATGTTAAAGTTTACCTTTTGTATTGTGTATAATTAATTATTTCTTTATATGCAATATATATAATAGTGATGATATTCTAACTGATTTTGTGATTTTTAAGTTTAAGTCTTCATATAAATAATAATTGGCATCAAACGGCTTAAGCGATTTTTTTTCTTACAATACTTTCTTCTAGCTTTGCTACTGCTATGTCTACACTAAAAATGAAAAAATAAAAACTTAATAAAACCCCACTTCAAAACACTATAAACTAAAAAATAACTTAAAGGGAGCTTTCGTTAACTATCGTTACTTAATCAGATATTTTCGAAGTCAGTGCCATTTAAATTGGTTAAGTTTGAGGGAATTTGAATTGATTGGAAAGAAATATTGTGAAATCAGTATTGTGTCTACTCATTACAAGCGTTATTTTTGAATTATAATATAACATATACCTAATCAAAAAAATGCTGCGGAGTAGGTAGCACAGATCATCTAGTTGGGTATTATTAATGAATCCTTTTAGTGCATTGACATAAATTTAATATGCCACATACATTATTAAACTTTAAACTTTGAGCGATCATTATTAAATTAATCTAAAATTGGATTTGTTTTAATAGGATAAAATAACTCATAATCTCGTATAAGATTTTAATATAACCCCAATATTTCGTATTTGTGCACATAAACCAACTCAGAAGTCGGAACTATTTTTGAAAATGAAATATTACCACGTAAATATTGTTTAGAACTTTTGAGATCTGATTTTACGCTTACTGTTTAAAGCAAAATCTTTAACATACGAATAAAGTAATACTAATCGTAAATCGTAAGAGAAATAAAAAAGTAAAAGTGTTTATACTTTATTCTTTAATTATTTTTTAAGGCAGTGGTAGCCCAGTGGTAACGCGCTTTCTTGGGAAACCAAGTGAAGCGGGTTCAAATCCCGGATCTCGCACCTGTGATATTTTCATGTGAGAATAATTTCTGACATGATTACCACTTGCCTTACGGTGAAGGAAAACATCGTGAGGAAACCTGCATTTCTGAGAAAATCTAGCAAGTTTTCGAAAGACATGTGAAGTCCGCCAACCCGCACTTGGCCAGCGTGGTGGACTATGGCCTGATCCCCCTCGTATTGAAGGGAGGCCCGTGCCCAGCAGTGGGAAGTTAAAAATGGTAGTCAATACTTTATTCTACTTTATTTATGAAGCGCCTGATATAAAAAATATGGCAACCCAAGAAAGAAATATTGCTAAAAAAATTATAAGGCACATTTTAACACAAAAATATTTTTCAAGTATGTATCTCTTAAAAAGTACATAATATCAAGCTAAATATTATATTTATACAATATGTACTATCTAATTTTACAATATGTGAATAAAAACAATAATCATGTAAACAAAGATTTAAAAGCAGAACTAATAAGTAATAACAAGGGTTCTTAAATAACCTCCTAAAATCTAGGATTTTTTTATCTTTTTTTAATATCTCCCAAATTTTATAATCATACTGTAAAGGACAAGTATCTGTTGTAAGTAAGTACTTAAAGAATAACACTAGATACACGGCAGTGTGTCAGCCAAGTTCATAAAGGGGAAGGGCTATATTACATGAACCATTTCAGGCCACTTTCGACCCTTCCTAAAATTTACAGGTTTATTTTTTATGTTGGGAAATTCATTTACGCTACCGCCGGCATACATATAGGATATGTGGGATTCATCTGCTAGAAAAGTCACTACTATCCACTAAAATCTAAAAAAACCTGCCTGGTCTTAATGGGGCGACGCAGAACATAAGCATAACCATATATCAAACTATTCTGATCAACTTAAATGCAATCCAATTTTATCGTGATATACACATTATTTCCTTCCTCTTCAACATCTTTAATGACCCCAATTCTTCTTTTTACTTTGTTCTCACTTCCAAATTTTATTTATTCGAGTATTTGTCTTGCAAAAAAAACCTAAGAATTTGGTTTTTGGTCACTGAACGCGGGCGGAACTGTGGGGCTGCTAGTACAATAGAAAGTTTAACAACATTTATTGCCCGGTAATACTTTTAACGGTGACATTAAACATGACCGTCTTAATTAAACTACAATTAAATATTTCGTTTACTATTTCAACACTTTTTGTTACGAACTTGGCTTTCTTTTACATTTATGTTTTTGGTGGCTTTAAATACTACATATACTCGTATAATATTTTCATTTTTAGTTACAAAATTGGGCTTGAATCCGCATTATTATAATAATTGATAGTTATTCGGCGTAGTATTTTTTTAATGTGTAATTTTCTTTTTTTTAAAAAGTAGATCCTTGTTAGGGTTAACATAGTAGCGCTAGCTTTACCGAGGAATTGGCCTCTTATAGAATATCGACGTAAAAGCAACAGTTTGCATTATACCTGTTGAGTATGAGCGCCAGAGGCCCTACCACTTACCTTCTCTGACCCCTTCCTAAACCCTCTTTCCCCTCTGTCATTTCTTTAGTAGTGCATTAGTGAAGTTCCAGTCACTTACGAGTGTACAATAGGTTATGCTTAATTTTTAATCTACTTTCTTTGGTGAAATATTGTCTTATAATTTTAACTACCGACTTACCTTCGCGTCGCTCGAGTGCATCTTTGGGATTTATACCTTTTGTATTTTATAATATACAGGCCACCTTTTCGCAAATTTTGTTACTTACCTCTACGTAGCATATGTGGTAATACAAGATAGTCTATTAGTGTACATAATTTATAACTATAAATTAAAAATTAAAAAAAAACCCTACGCAAATTAATGGTCATTTAACGATTACACTGGCACGCGTGAAGCACTTAATGGAGTAATCATACGCCAAAATGCCTCACATCATTTTGTAAAAGAGCTGATACTCTTACACTGCTGGACCGATATTAAGCAAACATAGCTAAGAACCATCGCAAGGAAACTGGCTTTCAAATGAAAAAAACCGCATCGAAATGGGTCCATCCGTTTGAGAGCTAAATGCCACAGACAGACACACATATAAAGAGACACTCAAACTTATAACACCCCTGTTTTTGCTTCGGGGGTTAAAAATTTCATCTAAATCAGCCGTTACAGCATATTTTTTATTCGTACGGCGTATGTATATGTAGATGTTCACCAATTTTCATTAATTAATTATTATCATTCAAAAGTTTTAATTTTTTGTGACAATATAATTATTACAACATCAGTTTGTAACTAAGCAACTTCCGCACCTAATTTACAAGAAAAAGGTAAAGGACTTACAATTATTTACCTTGCCTTATTATTGTAAATTTCCTCTCTAGTTTTAATTTTATTTAACCACAAAACTTGTTAATACTGCGCAAAAACTATCGCGACCAATAAAAATAATTATATCTTTAGTCCATTTCTATTACCTTTGTTTCGGCCGACAACAGGTAAAAGTGGTTTTTTCGAAAGCCTTCCCGCCGAAGCACGCGTCGGCGCCATTTTTGTTTATTTTTTTTAAATTAGGATAGAAGATTGCCGTGGGCCAAAACAGTCAGTCAAAAGTCACGCGTTCGGATACTAAAAAAGGAAAAATGTAAAGGGTCGTGAATGATACAGTTTTTTCGGTAAATTAGAGATTTAGATTTTTTTAAAGAGAAATTGCGTGTTGGGTGTAATAATACGTCTGGGTTGCGTTTTCGAGAATGGGACTTATTTTTTTTATATTCTAGGTATATCGTTCGTTTCGATTTTATACTGAGATAATTTAAATTTTTACCTACTTCTCAAGTAAACATTCATTTGAGTTAAATAATTAGATAGTATTACTAAAAGGAATATTAAATTACTTTATTAAAATTTATTTCGCTGATTTCTTTGCGGGTTAAAAACTAAGAATATTATTTACTCCTTAGTTCTCAATTAAATCTAATTGTCTTGTTAATGGCTTCAATATTATTATTCCTTCTGATAACAATGTTAAGAAACCTGGGACAGACACGTCCTAAAATAATAGTATGGTAGAATATACTAGCATTCGCCTTGAGCGGTATATTGGAACCGCGACCTTCGCCACAGTAGGCAGTGCCAACAGCTATTAATGTTTATGATGTATTTCAAAAAGAATTATGCTTAACCACGGAATATTATGATAAAAAAGTAACATAGTCGTACTCTTTGTTATTATTGACATTAATATCTTATACTAACATAAAAAAATGTCTAAATGGATTTTAATGAAATTATCAAACACATTTTTGGATTTTAAATATTAAACCTGTTTTAAATATTACTTCAACAACCTGTATTATAATATTTTATCTATGATAAGTAATGACGTTATGTTTTCCCGCCAAATCTACTTGTGGCGCCATCTTGTTTAGCCCGCGGGTTCGGCGCGTGCTTTGTACAACTTTTTGTTTTAATAAAATCGCTTCTAATTACAGTCATTTAAAGGGTTTACGTATTCCAGAGGGCCGGTTAATTATTGGCGGTGGCGCAGTTTTTTGTAGAAAAATAGGTTTTCGCCGAAAATTAGTAATATTTTAAAATGTTTTGTTAGGTTTTTTATTATTACGGTTTTTCGGATAGAAATATGAGGTATTTATTTTGTACATGGAATAATTATTATAAAACAATATTATAATATCTACCTATTTTATAATCTTCACTTATTATAAAAATGATAGAATGAAGATAATATATACTTTAGACATTATAATCTAGTGAAGGAACGAATAAAAATAAAAATAAATTGTGATATTTGTATTATCACCATAAAAACTAAAAATAGACAATACTACTATAATAAATCTTAT